ACGGAAAATGCTCTGAAGAGTTGGCACGTATGATTCCACCGAGAGTAGCGCCTACCAGGCGAACCCGTCAAACAGACGGTAACCATGAATTTACTGTCAAACTAGAGGCACCAAGAACCTCATTATATCAGAATTCATATCTCTGGAGAACAGCATCGCTGTGGAATAAACTCCCTGCGACGGTTTTTCCTGCAGGTTACAACCTGAACCGTTTCAAGACCAACATACACCGACATTTCCGCGCACTCGCCGCTTCTCGAGCGTGATAGGACATTTCCTTGCGAGTGCGCATATCCGTAAAAAAAAAAAAAAAAATTCCGTACTATAATGAAATATTGTGATAAATTTCGAAATTACAAAGTAATGTGCCAGTGTGTTTCGATTGCTATTGTGTGCAAACATTATCGGGGTAAGGTTGCTGTAATTTACGGTTACACCTTATACCTTTAATTTAGTGCTTTGTCCTAGGTAAGTTTGAGCTCTCCTTCACTATCTGTGATATTTTGACAAAACCAACTGGTAGCTTTTATAAACTGATTTATCGAGGGTGATATCACGAGTGCTAAAAAATTACCGATAATTTTAAAACTCGAGTGGTATTCAGAGGAGTATTACACAAATTCAAAAACATCGAACAATATATTTTTATTGAATAATAATATTATTTTTCTACTGACATTTCATAAAACGCTATTAAACGATTAAAATCTGTATTATAATGAACTTCATTACGATACAGATTTTCATTATAATACTCATTTTTAATATTATACAATGTTGATAGATGGCAGCACTAGTTAAGATATTGAACATTTTTAACGGTAATTTTGCGTAAAACAATTATGAAACAATGAGTGATAAGGAAGAATTTTTACTTTTATCATTATTATACATTGTCAATAGACGGCGCCACCAGTTAAGAAATTTTGATTTTTTTTTTTTTTTGAATGATGACAGCACTCTGTTTATAGCTTTTCTATGGTAATTTAGCGAAAAACAATAATTTTATAAACAAAAATACCTCAAATTGTTATTAAAAATTAATACCTTAAGTTTGGGAGAAGGCATTATTATGGAAATATTGAGCGATAACGAAGAATTTTCACTAACACCTCCAGAAATTACAGAAAGGGCGACAAATGCAGGTAATAATATACTACCGGACAAGTCCAAGAAAATTTACGAAAAATTTATGGACAATTTATGGACTGGAAACACCAAAAACACATCGTCCTTCTCAGAAAATGTTTTAATAGTATATTTTGAAGAATTACAATAAAAAATTAAACCTTCAACTGTATGGATTACTCAATTATGAAATCTCTATTCAAAGTTAAGCATAATGTTGACATATATAAATATCATAAATTTTATCAATGGCAGTAGAAAAAATAGTGTATGCAACTCTCATGTAATGGCCATTAATACACTCGCATGTTATATACGAAACTCGCCTGCGGCTCGTTTCGTATCCTACAACATGCTCGTGTAATAATGGCTATCATTACATGATCATTGCATAATAAACTATTTTGATTTATTGTCAAACTAGTTGCCCTGACGACGTGGTATTATCGTTTTGGTACTTATATCATCGATTTTGTATATCCGCATTATCCGCTGTATGTATCTTATCGATAGGAAAAAAACGACAGGGCAGCTGTATTATAATTCCAAAAAAGGAATCACGTCATCATCATATTCTTGGTAACAATGCTGTAGAAAATAGGTATCAGCACAAACATCGTGTCAAATTCAGGAAACAACAAGAAAGACCTCGTAATGGCCCGGTTTGATAAAAAAAAATGTCCATTTCGATGCTCCCCGGTATCTTTCCCTCTTAGAACAACTTTCAAACTTAGAACATTCAGAGGATTACCAAAAATAACGGTGTACTGTGAGAAGGAAAAATTAGTCATAAGTTTTTTCACGCAACCACAATATATGAAAAAAAATAAATGATTGATAAAACAAAACAAAAATAATAATAATTTCATTTGCAGTAAAGGTAATATTTATTGCGATTGAAAGCAGGAAATCTATGCTGAGGTACATTTTAGTAACCTTTCCGAAATTGATTACAGCAGTAGGAAGTATTTTAGTCGTGTTCATAATATAATTTCCAAGATATGACATGCTTCCGATTTTACTATAAAAATAGGAAAACAATAGATATCGTGTCAGTTTCAAACTCCGCTTTAATGTTTGAATAAATCTTTCCGAAACTTATGCATTATAGTTATTGCAAATCAGCAATCATCAATGAGTAAGGTTTAAGTTTCACATAAAATGAATGTATTTTAATGATTCTTACCGGGTTGCGGCTGCTGCTGAAGAAGAGTTAATATATAATTTTCCATCACCAGCATTGTTGGAGCTCAGGCACATGCATAAGAGACCCGGCAGGCAAACTCATCGATATTGTGCGTAATTTCTGGTTACCGACGGTAGCAAATGTCGCATCCCCATCTCGTACTCGTCTAGCACTGGTATTGAATCTGAAACTTTCTCCTCCGTGATCGTCTTCCTAAAAAAAGTCCACTTTTAGAGCCGCCGTACAGGGTGATCTAGTATAAATGTCACCCACTCCTAACTTTTTCATTTCAAAAGTTTTAAGAAATTGTCAAAAGCCTTCAACTAACTCAGTTTTAAGTAAATAATATAGGGTGCGTCAAAAAAGTGTATTAGTTCGAAGTTATATTCTTTTAAATAGAACACGTGTATATTGTGCTCTTATTTGTTATTCCCCTTCAAACTGAATTCAACCTTATATGTCTATCTTCAATAGTTATGGCGAACAACATGAAAACCCCTTGCAAGTTCTCGTTAAAGAAAGAAAAATTATACCATTTAGGTAACCACCCCATCGCCTTTCAGGCGGAATTGATGGCGGTCATCCAGGGAGCCAAGATAGCCATCGATCCAGAAATCGACGGCGAACGAGTGCGATTTCTAACGGATAGTAAATCCGTGCTGTCGGCCCTTGACAGCGCTAGAACAAACTGAAAGTTGATTATGCAAAGTATAGAAGCTCTAGAAGCTGACAGTCTTGCCAGAGCTGCTTCAGGGAAGGCCCCGATGGAACCTCAACCCATGATCCCTTGTCAACAAACACCGGCATTGCCGAAGTTAAATGAATAACTCAGTGCACGCCAAAATGTGGCGCAGTTTAGACACTTGTAGGCAGGGCAGATCAATGATCGACCTCCCTAACTGGAAAAGAGCCGAGTATAGTGTACAGTTGTCCAGGAAAAACCTCCGCCTATTGAAAGGAATTTACTCAGGACACTGTGGACTAAATAAACATATTTACACCTTGGGTGTTGTTGAGACCCCAATGTGTAGATGGTGCGACGCTGTAGACGAAACGGTTGAGCATGTGCTTTATCACTGCCCAACCTGTTGCCAATAACGGTGAGCCATACTGGAGGACATCTGGCCTTATATGGCCAGGTTGAGGCGCACCTCACCTGGAACTCTCCTGAATTAATTCAACGGGTGCGATGTCTGCGGGAGACCCCCGGGGAGGAGAATGCGCCTTAACAAATGGAGGTGACACAAAGGCAAGGCCTAGTGTCAGTGAGGTAACACCCTCCTTTGCGACTATCCATATCCAGATATACCATTTAGGTTTTAAAGATAATTTTTTATAAACAATTTATTATTATTCAATTGTTATTCAATAATTTACAAGGTGAAATATTATAATAAATCAAGATGTCAACCCAAAAGCTACCAACACTAGTGAAATCCTCATCACAAATAAAAAGTTGGGAGAGGCAACTGGACACAAAAAATAGGAAAGTAACTTAATACAAGCTGGTCTGTAGTAAATAATTTATGTAAGACGCCATTGCACCCGATGGTAGTTGAAAAAGTAGAAGATTTCTAGTTATTTATTCCACAAAGTACTAAAATTATTGTACAATGAACATCATTGTCAAAAACTTTCAAAATGTTCGCAAAACAGAAAATTAAATATAACTTTTTTCCTCAATTTGATTTTTCTGTTTCAATAATGGTATATTAAATAAACATTATTATTATTATGTTTTCGCAATTTGAGCAAACTTCAAATGTTCCAATGGTATAGTAGGTACATCTTTAGGTCATTGGAAAATGATAGCGAAAAATGCGTACCGACTGTTGATTCACAGCTGGAACGACAATCGCCCCAAATTAGAGGCATGTGACCACAGCTCCACTTTATGTTCCTCTCCTTTCCTCAATTAAATTCATATGCATCTGGTAAGGGCGAAGACTCCCGAAATTAAATATCAGCTGTAAGGATATGAGCCAGATTTACCTGTCCCTACTGAAGACCACATTCAAAAAATAATTTCTGGTGTTGAAAACAACATGAAGGCTCAATATCAACAAGCTTTAATTAATTTTCTTGTGAAGGAGCATCAAAAATTTGATATCAAGGAATTAAAGGTTAAGTTTGAGCTCATATCAATTGATCGAAAGGAGCTCTTGTTATGTTACTCCTTTTATTTTTATATTCTATTTGCAAACATTCATTTTGTTTCTCTCTCTTTTTTAGTTGGAGGTACGAGAGCAAAGTTATGGAAAACTTCACTAAAATTAGCCAATAAAACTAATGATAATGGTGATTTAGCTGTCATATTCACAGTATTTCGTATTAGCAACCAAGATAAAGTGTCTGTAAATAAACTTGTACCGAACCAAAGAATGGATGAAATTATTTATATTTCACATTGGTAAAATAATTTTTCATCATTTTCCAAGCAGAAATCCTCAACAAATATTTTATTAGGTCTAACCGATACAAAATTTGACTACTCTGATGATACCCTATGCACAGAAAGTGCTGTAGAATACTTTATTTAATAGCAAGGAATTTTATAGTAGCATCCAATAAAAATGGTTTATTGGATAAGCCTATTAGCAGAAAAGGCTCCTAACCCTCAAAACAATTTACCTACAACAAACATCCCTCCAGGAGATCCTCCTCCCAAATACACCCCTCTACCAAGCTATACTATAGCGACTGGAGCTGGCCTAGCTAAATTTCTAAGGCAAAGCATCAGGCGCAGCATGCGTAAAATCGTCAACGTTCTAGGAGAAGGTCCAAGTTCGTCCAGAACAAGGCCCAGTGTCCAACATCCGCCGCCCGATTACCACGCTGTTTTCGCGGAAATGACTGGCGGCAACGACACCACTTTGGAACGTCTTATGAATCTGCAAACGTCACCGAACGCTTTAACAGCTACAGAAGTGGCTTTGATACTCAGAAAAAGCTTCAGAGGAAGTCGAATTCGATCGCCTACCAGGAGTACTGCTGAACAATTTTTGGCGTCGCTCAGTGCTGAGCATTTGGTGGACGCCGAGGCTCCGATTGGCGAGACTTTGTTGGTTATGGAGCTGGATGAGAAGACGCCAAATGGCGTTCCGGCTGTGATATGACACTGTTTATTGTAAATTATTCATAATGAACGACAATGGCCCCAAATAAGAGGCATGTCACCAGAGATCCTCTTTATGTTCCTCTCTTTTCCTCAATTAAATTCATATGGATTTTTTAGCATTTGGTAATGGCGAAGACTACCGAAATTAAATATCAGCTGCAAGAATATGAGCCGGATTTATCTGTCCCTACTGGAGACAACATTCAAAATATAATTTCTAATATTGAAAACAACATGAAGGCTCAATATCAAGAAGCTTTAAATAACTCTCTTGTGAAGGAGCATCAAAAATTTGATATTAGGGAATTGAAGGGTAAGTTGCAGTTCATATCAATTGATCAAAAGTAGCTTTTGTTACTCCTTCTATTTTTTTATCTAATTTGCAAACGGTAATTTTGTTACTATCCGTTTTTCAGTTGCAGATACGAGAGAAAAGTTATGGAAAACTTTAAAAAAAGTTATGGAAAACTTTTAAAAAATTAGCCAATAAAACTAATGATCAGCAATGAAGCAATGAAGCGTCTGTGAATAAACTTGTAACCAAAGAATGGATGAATTTATTTATACGACACATTGGTAAAATAATTCTTCAACATTTTCCAAGCAAAAATCCACAAAATATATTTCATTAGGTCTAAACGATACAAAATTTGACTACCCTGATGATACCTTATGCAAGATTGAAATAGGTCAGAAAGTGCTGTGGAATACTTCATTTAATAGCAAGGAATTGGTAGAAGCATCCAACAAAAATGGTTTATTGGATAAGCTTATTGGCAGAGTAAGCTTATATGACATAGTCCATGTTCCAGACTCTATCAAATTTTACGACACTAAATTTGTGTTTTATCTTCCAGCGCTTTCGAAAAATGTAAGAAATATAATTGTAGAGGAGATGGTCTATAATTATTTATTAATGCATTAAAAATTATTCTGAAAGAGACTGACGAAACTCCTGCTAAGCTACATGAACAAAAAGCCGACAATGCTTCTGAAACCCTTAAAGCGTTATTCAACATTACTGTAATCAGTTCTCTTGGAGAAAGAAGAGAGGCTCAATATAGAGAATTAGTTGGAATATTAGGAAACTACCTTATGGCTTCCACAATAGGTTTAGGAAAAACCTGGCAGGGCAGCCTAGAAATGACATTGTTAATTTATCAACAAATATTCCAGCAATTTATTATACAGAATTGCTTATGCCTGTAGATGAATTAAAACCACTTCCAAAGAGTTTAACATTTGAAAATAAAAATCTGACAGTTATTTATGAAATATCGATTTCATTATCATTTCGAACCAATAAATACGACGAATTATTTCCAAAATTTGGTTATTTAATTGGATTTGAAAATATCAATTTTTTTTGCCAGAGATTTTGACTCTAGCCTGGTCATGAAATATGTATTAGCACCAACTTTTAATTTTGGCGATATGTGGTACAATAGCTCTAAGTCAGCAATAAATTTTTCACTCAAGAAAGATTTTTACTGACCTTGATTTCCAAGTTGATTTACATGGTTTCGCCTGCCTGAAATTCAGTGTCTTAATGGCCATCCTGGGTTCTTCGGTGATCTGTTCTCTTCATTGATCCATTTCAAACGGTCTTCCGGCGGATTCAGCGAATTCCACATCTTGAACTACCATCTTCAGAGAATTTTAAAACGGATTTATAACAGGTATTTCCATTAGGTACAACTTGTTAATCAGCATCAGCCTGAAAATAGAGATGTATTCAGATCAACAAAATATAGCAACAATAATGTTGGTAAGTTATTATCCATTCAAAAATATTAAAAGCCGAATAGTCCAACGCTCAAAGATTAATGGTGAAATCGCCGGAAGGTGTTTTCCTAGTTGAAAATAGTAAACGAGCTGAAATATCGATAGGAAAAAAACTACAGTCAAGTTCGTTGAGTATGAAAATTTGTTCAAAAATTAAAAATTCCATTGCCGCGCTTACCCTGTCTGTCTTTCCTTCTCAGAACAGCATGAATTCAGAGGATTATCAAAAATAGCGGTGTATAGGTAATGTGAGAATGAGATACAGTCCGTCTCGATTCATATTCATATGATATTTTTCCAAATTTTGTTATATTTTTTTTTCGTAACATCCTAGACTAAAAATTAAGCTAATACAAGTCGGCTGCAGACAGTAAGCAGTTACTTTTTTGGCATGGACCTGAGCTTATTTCGTGTCTTACCTAATAATATGGAATTATTGAATATTTTAAGTAATTAGCCGAAAGAATCCGATTTATAAAGTGATACGAACGAATTCCGTAGATAGACCAAAAATCATAAATACCTAAAGGTGCGTTTGGTTTTGCTTATGGAGCAACTATTGCGATGATCGCAGAGTGATAATCGCTAGAGTCGCTAATGTCAATCGGGCGCGTCTGGTCCTAGACCAGATATAATCGCCAGTCGCGAACGATTATTGACAGTAGGTGTACATGTGTTTTCGTGTTTTTTGTCGTCACCACACAAGTGATTTTTAAACAAAACTTTAAAGTATCATTCATCCATCCTCCTTTTGAAGATAGGATGTTTAGGAAGTCTTGCAGTAAATACCATATTTATTGCGATTGCTAGGAAGCGGAGGTAGATTTTAGTAACTTTCACGAAATTGATTACTGCAGTAGGTACCTAGTATTTCCGTCATGTTCATGATGAAATTTTCAAGATATGTTATGTTTCAAATCTTACTGAAAAATTAGGAAAACAATAAATATCATGTCAGTTTGACAGTCAGTTTTTCCGCTTCAATATTTAAAAAATTCTTTCCGAAATTTATTAGATAGTTATTGCAAATCAACAAACATCCATGAGTAAGGTTTACGTTTCACATAAAATAAATATATTTTAATGATTCTTACCGGGTTGGGGCTGCTGCTGACGATGAGTTGTTCCATAGTTCTCCATCACCTTCGCAGCATTGTTGGGCTCAGACAACTGCATGAGAGTGCCAGCAGGCAAACTTATTGGTATTGTGCGCAATTTATGGTTACCGATGGTAACAAATTTCCCGTCCGCATCTCGTACACGTCCTGCACTTGTAGGTACTGAATTTGGAACTTTATTTTCCGTGATCGTCATCCTAAAAATAAAGTCCACTTTTAGAGCCGGCGTACAAAATATCACAAACTGCCACAAAACATTAGAGAAAATAAAAAGTTAGTACTAATGAAAGAAATTTTCAAGACGACTTAGTGTAGTTATCGAAGTATGTGATAGCAAAAACCAGCAATAAGAGGCGAATACAATTATGTATTATCTCCTACATTTCTAATCTAGCAAATTCTAAACCTACCAAACCTCCAACTCACTAACTAGGTACTTATTAATGTGCTGCCAAGAATCCGCTAGATCTATCCCGGAACCATTTCACAATGTCTAGAATAATCCTAATGCTTCTAGATTATTTACTAGGATGTATTCGTATGACCCGCAATTATCATTTATAATCTACCAAATTCCAAACCTAATAAATAAAACTATTCAGTTTTGATCTTCCAATTTGCGATTTGTAGTTAACCTCTCCTATGAATATCGCTTCGAGCCGACTTTATACCGCTTACACAACCGATGAAAGAATGAGCTGAAACATAAAGTCCCGCAACTTCTAATTAAACTTATAAAGACCTGGTTCATTATGATTTGGAAGAAATTTTAGAATTGTCTAACCTAGAACTACTACTTTACTACAAATTTTGAACAGGCAAATTAGGGAGTTTTTGAATAAATTTAATGTATTGCCCACTAAACAATCGGTTTTTAGACCTAACCATAATTGTGAGAGCGCGCACTGGCTGACTTGACAGATGATATTTTAAGGGCACTTGATGAGAATAAAATTAGTACTTTGGTTCTTTTAGATTTTAGTAAAGCGTTTGATATGCTTTCAATCATGAGCTACTTTTAGCAATTCTTCATTTTGCAGGATTCGGCACAAATTCCTGTAACTTTTTGAAATCATTTCTGTCGGATGTCGAATCGTTCGCAAAGGGTAATAATAAACAACATTCATTCAGAAATTTTATACGTGAAAAGGGGGTACCTCAAGGTAGCATCTTGGGACCATTACTCTACACTATTTATACTTCGGATTTTTTGACCTCTCTTAGGCATTGTAAATATCATTTTTATGCAGATGATACAGAAATATATTTTTCATTTACCGATGAGGATGTCGAAAATTCCGAAAATAAAATTTATCTTGACTTAGATAATTTTTTCAAGAAGGCTGCGGATGATTTATTGGAATTGAATCCTGGTAAATCGTCAGTCCTGATTTTTGGTAATGATTCTCAAATGTCTAAAGTTTAAAACAGCATGAATATTGTGTTGAACGGTGTACCGCTTTCTTATTCAAATACCAGTAAAAGTTTGGGATTGTTTTTAGATTCTAATTTATGTTTTAAAAGACACGTTACAGCTAAATTAAGAGTGGCATACGGTAACCCAAAAAATATCTACAGCCATAGGCACTACCTTCCCTTAGATACTAGAAAATCACTTTGTGATGCCCTTGTTCTTTCTCAATTTAATCATTGTAGTAGTGTCTAGGTACCGTGTCTGGATACTGGTGATCGTTATAGAATTCAAAAAGTGCAAAATTCGTGTTTAAGACTTATATATGGTGTTAAAAGACGTAACCATATTTCACAGTATTTGTCTGAGTCGGGATGGCTAAATATGTTGAATAGATTTAAACTTTATCGAGCGACATTTTACTATAAAATTTTAAAATACAAATCTCCACCCTATTTATATGAGAAAATACCTTATCGCACCGATATACATAATGTGAATCTACGCAGGAAAAATACTTTAAGAATACCGCAACACCGAAAAGAAATATTTAAACGTTCATTTTCTTATAATGTTCCGAATTTATTAAACTCTTTAGACTTTTTAAATATTGAACTGTCATGTCATAC